TCCACACTTCTCAAAGCAAATAAACAACAAATCATTTCCCAAAAATTGCAAAGTATAAAGAACTCCAGATCACCAACATCAAAAAGGTAGCAAATCAATAAAAGGAACGGAATAAATAAATAAATAAAAGTTGTGATTTTTGAAATAAATAAAAAAAAGTGACGAAAGGAAACACAGCAAGAATTGTTACCGAGAATGAGCATAGCATCAGGAAGAGCACCAAGTATAGGAAGAAAGAGTCCGCCGATAAGACCGGGACCGAGTATTTCCAGCAGAAGCTCACTCCCGCTGGAAAGAAAAGTTGCCGCGAGAAACATGAGATAGCCGTAGACCACAATTAAGAAGAGGTTTCCAAGTATAGTGGTGGTGCACGGCATGAATCCGTAGGTCTGCTCACACGTCTCCTCCGCAGCTGAAAACATCCGGATAACTGGCGAAAGCCGCTGCTGCTCCTGCTGACTGTGGACCCCATCCGACACGAGATCTGAACCGTCGTCACCGATGAAACGACCGCACGCTATACCGCAGAGTATCAGGCATATGAAAAGCGTGAGAGAAATTGAAGGCTTGTGCTTTCGAGCCATGGTATAAGGGGGAACGAAGCTGTTGATATCTTTTGACTATATATTACATACACATAAATAAATATTACTCCTATATATAAAAAATGTTATAGATATTTCTATCCCTATCTATTTATATATGGTGTGTGTAATTTTGTGAATGTATCTGTCGGGAAGTGTGAGCATGCATTACTATTATTTAGTGTGTAAAATGTGTGTGAGATCCGTGTTGGGAAGCGAGGAGTTTACGTGGACGTTGGACTGACTCCTGGTGGAGACGATTGGCATTATCAGGTTTAATTAAAGAGAGAGCAGTGGGGGTAGGAATGTTAATTACTACTTAATTAGTACTGTAGTAGTGTTACTTTACTAGTACATTCAACTTGTGCAATCTTATATGTATCTCTCCATATTTGTCCACTGAGTATCCTCAAATAGACAATTCAGCCTATTTGTTTAAGTATTATCATTACTAGTAAATCTTACATAGAGTTACGGTACATACATTATCACGGTTAGATATACGATACATATGTAAAATTTGAATTTTAAATTTAAATTCGCATTATATGTCATGCATCTAATGATGAAAGTGTATACACTATCAGTGTATAGAAAATTAATCCTATTATTATATGGTTCTCTTGATGGGATTCTTAAGATTTGTATGTAACATATGTTAGGCAAAGATAAAAAAAGAAAACTTTACATTAATGTTAAAATTATTTATTTTATTTTTTTGCAGAGAGATAAAACAAGCATATTATTCATAGCGTGTGAAATGAATTAATACTTCGTTGATGGTCTCCTCCACCTCCTATCAGCAACAGGGAAAAAGAAGAAGAACAAAAGTCAACTAATAAGCACCTTCTTTGAATCATACTAGAAAGTTACTGTCCATAGAAAAGATCAAACAAGGAAGTCTCTTGCTCCCATAGTCTTATTATATTGTCACTATCCAAAGGCTGCTATTTCCAATTAGCCAAATAAAAAACAAAAAAGAAGGAGAAAAGAACGGTGACAGAGACAGGAAAGTCAATAATGACGTGATTTGCTATTTTGCTTATTCATAAATAAATGATTTTAATTGTCATCCAATTTGAGCAAATGATGAAAAACGTCAATTATAGATTACTAAGGGCATGTTTGTTCTCAAACGTAGAACTAGAAAAACAATTATAGATAATAACAAAAAAGATTCTTTTGAAAAGCAAGGTTTCCGTGGTTGTCCTTTTATGAGGTGGCGATCCGATATTTTCCTTTCCGCGCCGCGTTGTGACAACTCCCCAAAGGAATCGTAGTCATTTGTTATTATGATTTCATTCAATTCAGTTCATTTGTTGTGATTCTTAGTATAATTTCGACGTAAATTCGTACAATTTTAATATAAGATAAATTTGTTAAATGATTTAATAAAATTTATATTTATACCAAAATTACAGTAATATTTTTATAATATTAAATATAAATTAATCTTGTATATATTATCGATGTATACATTATTACCATTAAATATATGATACATGTGCAAAATTTGAATTTGAAATTCAAAATTTACTCATGTATCATCCGTAATAATGTATACATTGACTGACAGGCTGTATAAAATTTACTCATTAAATATTTGTACAAATAACCCGACTGAATGAAACAAAAGTTCCTGGGTTGACAAAAATTAGTCCGGCAATGCTGGGATACTCTCTGGATTGACAAAAAAAAAAAGAAACAAAGTTCAACTGGGGATGACTGATCCTTTGCCATGTGGAACATGATGACGAAGCCGGCTGTTCTTTTCTCAATAGAATGATAGATTGATGAAATCTTCCTTCGTCCTTTTAAGTTTGGGTTAATTACATTTACCTCCCCTGAGATTTGATCATATTACCAATCAATCCCTGTAATTTGTCCAAATAACGGTCTCACCCTTTGAATGATCAAACATTTAACAAAAACCCCCTTAATGCTGAAAATACCCTTATTGAGGCCATGTTGCATTAAAAAAAGAACATATTTTTATTTTATTAACCCTGAAGCAATCCAAAAAAATAGAAAAAAATTTTTGGTTATTATTTTATAAAAACCATATCTTTGCTTCCATAAATAGTTTTGAATCAATAATTATTTTAAATCTTAAAAATGAATATTAAAAAATTAGATAAATTGAAAGAAAAATAAAAAAAGAAGAAATCATTTTAATTCTTGAAGTATGGTTCAAATTGAGGAAAACATGCCTTGTGCTCTCCGCAACATGCCTTGAACCACAAATTCGAACCATACTTGAGGATTTAAAATAATTGCTTCTTTTTATTTTTCTTTCAATTTATCTAATTTTTAATATTCATTTTTAAGATTTAAAATAATTATTGATTCAAAACTATTTATGGAAACAAAGATATGATTTTTATAAAATAATAAGCAAAAAATTTTTTCTATTTTTTTGGATTACTTGAAAGTTAATAAATAAAAATATGTTCTTTTTTTAATGCAATGTGGCCTCAATAAGGGCATTTTCGGCATTAAGGGAGTTTTTGTTAAATTTTTGATCATTCAAAGGGTGAGACCGTTATTTGGACAAATTACAGGGATTGATTGGTAATATGGTCAAACCTCAGGGGAGGTAAATGTAATTAACCCTTTAAGTTTTCCCGTGAGGTCGCGTGCCCGTACAAGTGTAGTGCTGAGGAGTGAGGGGAGGACCAGCGATGATGAACACGGCTTAAGGGCTTGGGGCCCATGGGAGCTTTGAAGCGTTGGACCACCACCCAGGAATGGGATGCCCATTCTTGCGCCAGGACGCCGTAAAGTTTATCCTTTTCGTTAGTTGTTAGTTGGGATGCATGGCCCAGTATCAAGTTGCGTCAAGTATGGGTTGATCCATTTATCTGTCGGCAAAATCATGTTTGGTTTTAAGTGCCAAATGTTTAAATACGATGAGACACATTATCGCTGTCTAGAGAATAAACTATTTATTTACAAATTTCCTTTTTGGATGCATGAAAAAAAGACTTGCGTCACAAACTCCATTCAAAATTTGATGAAAATTACAAAAATGGGCCCACAGTTGGACATTTTTGAGAGGGCAGTTTTAAAATGTCCATCGATCCAATAAACACTAATAATGCAATGTAACAGATGAAACACTCTCTTTACGATCTTATCCTCCTCATGTCATCGGAAAAAAGTCAACTATATAATACTGTGCAACAAAAACAATCACTATTTAACTCAATTCAACACTTAAACTTAATGAATTCATAAATGTGTTTCATAACAAAAAATTGAACATTTGAATTAATTAAATGACGTTGAATTTTCTAAACAAAATTTGCTTTAAAAAATAAGTGATAAGCTGTTATTCACTTATCACTGAATATGATATACATTCAAATGTATCTAATTTAATATTTATCAATTTAATAATTTAATAGATTTAGATTTCAAGTTTTAGTTTTCAAATTTTAATTTTATCGCAAAGTCAAGATTGTTCTGCATGCCAAATATTACATGAACTTTCAGGTTATGATTTTCTAGCTTTTGGGTCCAACATATAGGACGTCGAAATTTAATACTTTCTTAGCATAAGTATTATGGATCTTGAATGAATTAAAACAATATTCACCATGGGAACTATTTAGCAATTTGGTAAAAGCATAAAAAGAGAAGCCCCGGGGGGGAATAAACCTGACCCTAGCTTTTGATTTTGCGATATTTCCTAAGTTCTAAAACACGCATCGGTTGGTCTGTTGGTGTAAGGTCGCATCAGTTGATTAGGTCACCAAAACAAGCGTACCAAGTCCTTTTCCTAATAATCCATTCATTGACCATTTGGCTGATTTTGCTTTGGTGGGAAGAGACTACTTGGTGGTGATGACTGATGAAGACAAGTAACGAGAGACAGAAGGATGCCGAAAGGCAAGGATCTTAAAAAGCTGAAAAGCCAAAATAAAACAGATGGCTATTTTTTTTTCTTCCAATTTTTCCACTTACAACTCTTTTAGTTCCCTCTTTGAATTGACGAAAAAGCAAATTTTGTGAGTTGTTTTGTGGGTCAAGAGCCCAAAGGTTTCAGGCTGTTAGCTCCAATGGCAGTGGGAGTAAAGCTCAAGACTTTATCGCGGTCACAGATTACAAATTTTTCCACGGACGAATTGGTTAATTCACTGAATATTGTGGATTGATGCGCTTTGCTTTATCAAATTTATTTTCAACAAATTGAATACAAAATAATTATAAGAAGAATCCTACTGCGACAATATCAGAAAATCGACCATTACTTTCATCACGTGACTAACTTACCGTTAAGGGATACTGATTTTATCTTTAAGAAGTCCTTATGATTTTGTAGTTTTTTTATACTTATTCTTTGACATTTCATATTGCTCATTGTATGGAAAACGCTCTGCCTGAAACTTAGAAATTTGCTATGTATAAATAAAATGCATGTTAAATTGCGGATTCTGCATAAAATTGATAATCTTTATACATTCTACAAAAATCAATTATTTTAAAGGCTAAGTTATACTTCCTCTATCACTATATCATCTTTCTTATCTATACAATATACACTAAGGCATTCAAACATAATTCACACGTAACTTCGCAGCTAACTGATCTAAAGCTAATCACACGTACAATCAGTTTGATGATGCGCATGAACATTCATCCGTCTCCAAGGGTCAAAATCAAGTGTGGTTCGATGGGCAAATATCATGCGTGAAGCAGATAAACCAGGACCAAAGATAATGGATACAGGAAATAGGCCACGAGTGAGGTCCAGAGCGGGATGATGGAGCTGAAAGTTGCAATCAAGCCCACGATAGCCGAGACTATCAGAACTATCACTACTTCAGCTGAGAAAATCCATGTCAGGCCTCGGAAATATATTAGAGAAAGCAGGACAGAAAAGCCCAGCATGTTGTTCATGAAAACTCCGCCATAAATCTGCATTAATTATTAAACCTTTAAAAATGTCAATTTCTCTCGATAAGTGAATAACTCATCACTTGAATATAATTTTCTTTCTTTTTTTTCGCTACGTTGACAAAACTATAATGGACTTGGAATTAGCACGACATAATTCATGTTCATTTGTTTTTATTTGTTCTAATTGCATTATGTATTTAAAAACCTCGTAATGTCAATTTTAGACCAAAGCCTCGTCAGCTCTTTATATCCGGTGTTTAGTGTGAAGTTTAGCTTTAATCAAGCATCGGAATTGGATTAACAAACCTCTGAAAATGTCAAAGAAGTGGTTCTTGGTTTCTTTCTGCGTGCCTCGCTGATTGCTGAAATTGCTATCCTAGCATTAGTAGCCAGTGGGACTAAGATAAAAGAGATGAAAAATGATGGCATATTTGCGGCTTCCGAAAAATTCTGAACACTTTCTATGAGGGGTTCAGCTAGAATTCCCAGCATGCCTGTGCCAAGCACCAAAAGAAATATGGCCTTGGTCCATGCAAGTAGAGATTTGTTAATGCTCTTCACCTCCAATAGTTGGTCAGTCTGCTCCCATGATTTCTGCACAATTTTATAGACAGTTTGCCATTTATTACCAGCCAAGCCAAAATTATACCCACAACCGAAGCAGCTAAAAAAGTCCCCTTTTACTTTGCTAAAACTTGGCTGATTCCAACTTTCCATTATGTTAGTTTAGTCAACGTTAAAACAAATGTAATCAATTCAAAGATCAGAGCCCCCACATACTTGAAAATTTTCATCCTCGCTTTCTTTTGAGTTGGTAGATGCATTGTCATTCTTTTGCAGCCATTTTGACAATCCTGTAGCAAATTCTTCCTCATTAAGCATACGATCACCATCTGTATCGAGTTCTTCCATCATCTTGGCCACTGCGTCATCCACACTTAGAGATGTAGGACCAAAGTTGATCTCGGTCAACAGTGTTTTCAACTCGGAAAATGATATGCGATTATCCTTGTCCTCATCAATGCTATCAAACAACCTGGAATACAAAACAAAGGGGAACAATGCACAAGTATTTCATCAGCACGTACAATTCCAGACTTATTTCCTACGGAAGTGACAGCCTGCAGCAAAAAGGGTCGGGGTGAAATGAATGCTTAATGAATTGTATAATCTGAAACTAATTGACCTTTTTATAGCAATTATATCTGGTTCTCCATCTTCTGTCAAAAGGGTTCCTAGTGCAGAGCTCTGAACGTGTTCCAAAATTTCTGATACTATATGCTTCATTATTTCGCGTTCTTCCCTTTTCTTTTGAATCCAAGGTTGGAGGACCTGTTATGTAGTACAAGTATTGAACATGAACGAGGATGAATCAAGTAGTTAGTGAAAACTCCTTCATGAATATCTCTGTGATCTAGCAAATTAATCTGCTTTAGCTAGACTCTTGATGAACTTAAAACTTGTTTTTATGGAGGCAATGAGAAATATTTTGAACCAGGTAGCAAAAGATGGTACCTGGTACAAGTGTTTCAGTGACTTTTTGGAGAGATATCGTTTACCCAATGCCTGTTTTGTGTCATCAAGCCATTTTGTAACGCCACTGACAAATTCATCAATGCTAATTTTCTCATCAGCGTCCATGTCAAAATCCCTCAACATCTCTGCCGTTGCTTCATCCTTGTCCAACTCTACATTCCTAAATTTGATTTCCTTGAGCAATTCTTGTAGCTCAGAAACAGAGATGAAGTTGTCCCCATCATGATCCGTATTTCGAAATAGCCTGCAGCAGAGCAGTACGAGTATTTTAATGTTTCTTCAACCAAAATAGATGGAAATTTCAGTTTCCATCTGAATTTGACATCACACCTTCTAATCGCTGTTACATTAGGTGCCCCTTTAGGGGTAAGTACCGCGCCTATTTCATGATTCTGCACATGGTTCAGGATGTCAACCACCAAATGTTCATGTTTTATGTATTCTAATCGTCTTCTTTGGATCCATGGCCGAAAGATCTGCATAGCATTCCCAAGTCAAGATCACCACGAAAATGTTGACAACATTGTGGAAGAAAACTAATCGCTATCATAATGTAGCAAAAATTAAGCACTAAATAGATAAGAGAAAGCTGAATTTGAAATGTACATAGTTAAATGGGGAAAAAACAATAATCTCTGCTTCAAATGAATTACCTGATAGAAGAAGTATACGAGCAAGAATGTGACAGAAATAAGCAGAGAGATAATGATGAAAGCTAGTTCCCCCGAAGAAGATAGACCAAAGACTACTGGAACTTGGATGGTAATAAAGGGTATCACTGAGAGAACCATAATTCTTGCTGTGTGCGATGTCCTTGTATCCATTGTCAAGCCATAACCTGCGACAGCAACAATTTATGCTAAGCTAAATATATGGCACTAGTTTAGGTAGATGTTAAAGGCACTCAGAAGCTATTCAAGTGGAAAATGAAATTAGGAATAAACCCTTTGATCGGGAAAATAATCTCTTGAATTGGCTTCGATTGCTAGTACTGGAACTTGCGAAAGAAGTACGTTTCTTGCCATTGGGGAATTCTTGACTGGCAACGATGACACAAGTTCCCCAAACTATTGTAAGCAGCAAAATTGTTGATCCAGCCAGCAGCCCTGCTCCAGTTAGGACATATTCTTGGGCAGTTTCTCTGCTGTTCAACAGTCCAGATGCTGATAAAAACAGTCGTGAAAAGAAACCAGGACAAATCAAAGGGTTAGCTTAGCTCCTTTCATCTAGAATATTTTGGTCGAGAACTCAGATGATTAAGGGTCTGCTTACCAAGAAGGATGAGAGCTTCTGGAAGAGATCCTAGAACATGAAATGCACTTGCACCAAAAATGCCAGGGCCTAGAATTTTGAAAATTCGTTCCCCTCCAGAAGCAACTAATGATTCTCCCCGAAACAGCAGGTATTCATACACCACGATAAGGAAGAGATGCCCCAAAAGAGTGTTTGAGCATGGTAAGAAACCATACAGTTGCTTACATCCTTCTGAAGAATCCATCCCTTTGAAAGCTATAAAGGATGATGACTCCTTTTCACGGAAGTCATCAACGCCATCTGAAACCAATTCAAGATGGTTGTCGTGGCCTAGTAATACTCTACCAGCTGCAACGTTGGCTGTCAATAGCAATAGAAGAAAAAAATCCACAAGCCTTGCAGTTTTTCCCATTAATCTGATCGATATCACGAGTACCGTTGATCCTAAAGAAGCAAGGCAGCTGTTCAAAAAATTTTTTTTTTTTTATCTTCAAGAATTGGCAGCTTGGAATGCTGATTAGAAATGAAGTTTGATGAGCCAATGAATTTGTCAAGTTCTTATAATACTACCTACTTTTGGTCAGTTGACCTGGGACAGGAGGAGCTTCTATTCACAGAATCCGAGTTTGAAGCTCATATGATAGCCGCCTGTTGAAACAGGTATTAGAAAATTTTGAATATGTAGGCTACAAGTAATTTGTTTCTTGCAAGTTAATGTGTTGATCTGGCCTTTTTCTTGAAGTTGAAACTTCTACCTATATTGCTCCTAGGAAGATTCCTAATACTATCCACATACAACACTAGCAGTATACTTTTCAACGTTCTGTAAATCATTTTCCGAAAGTAAGAATCGGAGAGTCGTGAAACCGATGAACTTATCCGCCCCTGTCACCTTAGATTTTGTCAACACACCTCCACGAACCTTATTAGGGCCAAGTCTATAAAACCGAATCTCTGTCACTTAACTCAAAAAAATTTTTTTTTTAATCACAGAGAACACAATTTTGTGGGGTTGGGAGTAGAGGTAATGTAAGTAGGGTGGATTCAAGATCTCTAGCGTACCAAAAAAAAAAAAAGAATTGAAGAGAATTAATTGATCAATTGGTTAATCAGATTTATCAAATTTAGATGTAACTAGACTAATATCATGGTTGTTCATTAAATTGTTACCTCATGCAATATATACATGAGTTAAAATCAAGTATATAGGTTATATTCCTATGATTAATAACCGCAATTATTACGTAATGATCTGTATCTGTTGACAAAATTTTCAATCTCTTTTCGTACTTGTTCTAATCACGCAAGTACATACAATTTGTTGAGAATAGAGTAAAAAACTTGAGGAGCCCTTAAATTACCATCGTTGTCGAGTTCTGGTCCCGATCTAATTTTTATTTCCGATGAGCTACTAAACAATTAAAAATGCATAGCTTAAGTGCTTCCGGTCATTTTATACCGAAGTCAAGCTGGAATTAAAGGGCAATTTCGTCCAACCATAATTGAAACATCTGGACCAAAATTAGCATTAGATCCTTTAGACAAGAATTCTAACACAAAAAAGCAGTAGATCTTCACCTTGAACCGTTTACCAATAATCTCCTTGTACCTAAAGATAGAATCCAACCTCTGCAAGCAAAAGCTCTACCAGCGGTGTGGGGAACAACACAGTGACTAGCAACCCAGCCAATCAAGCATCTTGGTGGCATGGTTCAAAGTCACGGTTGCGGTCGCGGTCGCGGCCCGGAACGTTCCACATCGATCTCGGCATATCGGTCGCGGTCTCTGTGAAACGCAAATTTTAAAGTATTTAATATTCTAAAAATTCTTAATAATATAAAAAAGTATGCTAAATAAAAATAATTAAAAAATAGCAAAAGAAACGGCCAAGTCAATCCGTCGCGGTGTGACTCGGATGATTTCTCGTCTTGATTCGGGATAACTCGGTGTGACTCGGCCGAGTCAATCCGTCGTGGTGACAACTCGGCCGATTTCTCGACGAGTCAAGTATTTCGATATCGTTTTGTCACGGTATCGTATCGGTAGGAGCCGAGACGGTGACGACTCGGCCGAATCGTCTCGGTCTCGGCCGAGACTTCGAACCATGCTTGGTGGTGGTGGTGGTAGCGGAAATGGCATGGGTGGTATTGGAAGCATTTGTACCATTGGAAATCCTAGTTGGCATGCCTTTCGTGATGGCGAATGCTCAGGACTTTATCCACAAAGCCACCCATGGCTGGCCGAAGCACATCGATAACGACGTTTGGGATGTGGCCGTGGAAAGACGGGACAAGAAGCTCATGGAAATGCTATCCTCTTCTTCTACTCCTGATTAACAATCTAACTAAGGAAGCACTATGGCCTATCGGTGAATTTTTGGATCTCTTCATGTTTTGCAAGCATTGAAGTTGTAAGCAGACAAGTTGAATTGTTGTCTTCCTTCTGCAGCTCACTTTAAACTTTTGAACAAAAAAAAAAAAAAAGAACAAGCTATTGATGTTGATTGTCTGGATTTGGTGGATGATAAAATAACAAGAGATGTTTGAGTAATAATAATAATAATAAATCCAGCTCCTGCTACTTCAACTATTACTTAAAACCTGTAGATGAAATCATTAGCGGAGAGAGAGAAAATTATGTGCTTTTAATTCTTTTCTTGATACTTCAAATGTGGTTGGACAATAATATCAATTGCTTCTGGCTTGACTCACATATAAAATGATCGGAAGCGCTTAAATTATGTATTTTTTATTATTTAAGGGCTCATCCAAGATAAAAATTAGATCGGAGGCCAGAAATTGACAACGGTGATAGTTTGAAGACTCCCCAAATTTTTTACTCTTGGGAATATATATATGAAGGATAAGATTCCCACTGGGTGACCTTTTAGCTTTTAGTCCGGGCTCTCAGACCTCATAAAGCTCAGATATTAGATGGGTTTAGTTTAGGCCTTTAGATTCGTAAGCCTTTTGTGGTAAAAATTGGGCCTAAACTTGTAATTTTTAGTGTCCAAGTCCAAGCTTTGTCAAGGCCAGAGCCTTACCCATTCGAAAGCCTAATCAGGAATCAGGACTGCCTCCCGTGTCAAGCAACAATTAGAAGACTTCGATTTTCCTGATCAGGGTGATATTGGAATGTTTTAATATGGGCTGACAATCAAGTATCCACCAGTTGTGTAAACCCGTAGACTGCAGAAATCTTAAGATCAAAGTTTTGAATTCGAAATCTCTTATTTATATTAAAATTTTTTTTAAAGTTAATTGATATTTGATGGATAAGACTCTATTTATCCCCTCTAAGTTATCTATTGAAATATTGATCAATTGGATTTTTTTAAAACTTGTTTTAAAGAAAAAAATTCTAAATTTGTTTTAATCACCTCGTTTATATCGCAAATATATACTTTTCCCACAAAGTGCTGCCCTATAAAAAAGGATTCATCTTTCTTTACCCTATAAAATAGATTAATCATCTTGATTAATGTTTCTTATTTTGATAATGTACACAACTATTAAAATAAAGAGGATTAATTTTTCTTACGCCCATAGCGCATACAAGAGTAATCTAGGATATATCACACATGACACGTGTTAAATTTGAATATTAACTTTAAGTTTTACATATGTGATATGTACTCAAATTCGCGTATGTTAAATTTTAAATTTTATACGTATGGCATGCATCCAAATTCAACTCTAAATTTTAAGCATACGTATGCATTCAAGTCCATGTGTACACTTAAAAATATATGAACGATGCTTTGAGGTGTGAATGGTCAAATTTTATTAGCCCATATGGAACGACAGCACTTTAGAAATTGATGGGAAGATGTCGAAGCACTGAATTGTGTAAAATAGCGAGATTGAGATTGTCATTGTCGAGACGAAAAGTTCATTTGGGCCACCAAAAGAATGCGCGGTTAAAGAACATGTGCTGCCAAATTTTCCTGCGTGGCAGAAGAATAAAGAATAGTGATGGCAATTAGTTAGGAAGTTGTGTATAAACATGTCAAGCAAGCAACTGCATGCAATCAAGACAGACTTTGGCTAGTAAACAAGTTGAACTTGGATTCAAGTGCTGAGGACATTGATAGATTACGGACGTTGATTCAAGTGTCAAAGTTGAAGCATCTGAATGTAACAGTTTTTCTTGGAAACTCAGTGCAGGAAAGTCTTGATCCAACAAAGACTGTTGGTCTATTATATATGGCATTAATGACAAGAATCTATAATATAAAACTTACGTAGCAAAGTCTACCTAACGCCAGAATGAATTGTGTATTTGTACCTCTGATCTGAACTAGCTATATCACAAAAATGTGCCATTAAAAATTCATAGCTAAGCTTTCAAAAACAAACATACTCACGTACATGAGTGCGTAGATTGGTTTGCTGACAATCTTGCTGATGCAGGAGTGCTGCATTATGCCTGCAGCACTGGATTTTTTGTGGAAATTTCTGGAGATCAGGAGAAGTTTCATTGATTTGGGATTGCTATGAAATTCCACGTTATTGGCCCTTGTTTCACTTATCAATGCCACTCACTTTGATTGTGGCTTGATAGTTTAGGAATCCTGCATCAAAAGCACTGAAACTGTACAAATATGTATATAACTCATCACACCTTCATCTACGAACTGCTCTCCAGCTTGAACTTTAATCAGTCGTTTTAAGTAATGTATTTCCTCAAAAGATTTTCTTCACCAAAGTTACTAAATTCATTTGCGCCACAAAATTGTATCTGTATGCATATTAATCTCTTAGCATCCAAATAACTTCAAATATGTTCTCCTTGCGCCTCTTCTCGATGAGGTAAATATTCTATCCTGGACTGCCTCTTAATCTGGCATATCTACCTACTGGCACTGACACTAATCCTAGTTTCTTACAACTCTCGAAAATCAACTATTAATCCATTCAATACCATGAATATATTTAGTTATCTACACATGGCCTGTGCTCTTACTTTTCATGAGTTTAATGGAGTAGTTTAATAAGTGGAGATGGCACCTGATAGGTACAGTTTTGAAAGTTCAAAGGACTAAGTACGAGGACAAAATTTTAGTGCAATTTAATAACAAGACTTAAATCTACAGTAGAATTTCCAGGAAATTTTCTTCCCTCCATTCATTCAAAGTTGAAAAAGCAATCATTGTCTGTGCTCTATAAGTATGTAGGAGGAAGTGGCGGCTTTAGTTGGAACTTAGAACCAGCCACCCAATGGAAATATCTCCTTATCTCCTACTGTTCCTTTCCGCCTTGGCCTTTTCTGTGGCGGCCCCACCTTCATCTAAGGCGAACCAAAGGGTTCGGTGGATCGCCTGCCCAACTCTCGCGGGGACTCAGTCGTTCACTACAGTCCTCAATTAAAATCGGAATAAATAGGGCAGCGATCCAAATTTAAAGCGGAACTTATATACATTGACATCCCAAAAAGGAGTATAAAGATCGAATATACAAAGGTTCTTAATCCTTCATACGTCCAGCCCGTGCCAAACACTAGGGCGAGAACCATTACAAAGAATAACAAAAGAACTAGACTAGGCTAGTCTATGCTCTCATCCTGCTCGCCGTCCCCTGTTAAGGAAAACACAACTAAATGGGTGAGCTAAAAACTCAGTGAGGTTCCGAACACATAG